ACTTGAGAAGTAGTAGCCAAGCGGAGAACGATACATGCAATTCCCTGCTGCCGTTAGCTTCAACCGAAGGATTTAGGTGGTTACCCATTGGCTTTTCATTAAGCCATTACTTATAGAAGCTTAAAGGCCCACTTAAGGCAAGCTATCAATTCTTTCCTACTGTGCACGAAAGCAATACAAGCTAAGAAGACTAACAAGGAAAAGCTCATGCTTTGCGAATCTTTCTTCTTCCTTAAATGGTCTAATTTGGCCCATTAAGGAAACAACTTTTAATTAGCGAATTTCAAAGGAAGCAAGGGAGGATATATGGAGAAAGAAATATTAAGCAATCTTAATTAATATTGCTTTCCTCAATTTACCAACAGGAGGAAGGCGAGAGAATCCATAGAGGAAGAATGAATTAAATGAACTTTAATTAACTTTCATAGATGCAAAAATTGGCAAATCAAATCGTGGACTGAGTTCCACAATGCCAAACAATTTTTCTCGATATGATTTTTTGCTTTATTGTCATCTTTTTTCACAACAGTAAGTGGATCCATAAAATCAAAACTCTAATTCATTTGGGCCACTTGAGCAACATCAAGCCTATCATATTACCAAAAAGCCTCACAAAAGTATATGGCGTTGTTTTGATGTAATCTTCTTCCTATTTCTCATCTTTCATTTTTATGTTCTCATTATCAGTGCTCCATTATCATTAATCTCTATTTGAAATGCGACTGTCTCAATCATAATTTAAGAAAGAAATTTTTTACATAGTGTTGATTTTCCCTTAGGAAATGTCCACTGAAAATGAAAAAAAAAAAATTATAGACACAATCTATCCCACCATGTATGATTAATAAAGTCTAGCTAACCTATTTATGGCTTTAGCTCCTTTTCTTGTTTTGGGGATCCCAGTCCTTCATTTATCACTCTTCTAAAATCGTAAAATTACAACTTATCTATATTTGAATATTATAATTATCATTACCAAAGATAATGATGTTATATCTCTTCTTTGAAAAATATTCATGACACTACTTTGAAAAGCAATATTCCAATTACTTAAAATTTTTTAATTGGTTCTAAAATCTCTTTTGACTTTTCTTAATATTTTCTTTCATAAATTATGTTTATGATATTTTCATTTGTGTGATCGTTGTTGATTTGAATGAAGTTTTCACCACCCTAAAACATAATGATCAAAACTCAATTAATGGGATACCTTTGTAAGATCATTTTTAGTATCATTACTTAGTTGGACTAATGTATATGATTCATGCTCAACTAACATTACCTATGCATTCTTAAATTTAGTCAACTCTTCCTTTCATGCTCTAGTTTGTACTAGAGTTCTTCAAATTTATTTGTTATTTATGAAGCACTTTGCATTATTATCTTTGGTATTTACCTAACTAATATGTGTCTTTATTTTGATGTTGATTGAGCTAGAGATATAATTGAGTTGAAATTTATCACTATTTTTTAGCACTCTTAATCATGTACACCTCACTAAAATGTTTCTTTGTGAAGTAGGCAACAAATATGGGCTATTTGTTCTCATTTCAAATATGAAAATAACAACCTCTTTAACATATGAGGGGGATAAATTTACTTCCTTGGTTATTCTCATACAAAACAAAAATAGCTCATGAATCATGATCCCAAAAATATTAATTTAAATCTATCATCCTTTTTTCTAGCATTCCTTTTTTCTATCTCTATAAGTTGTTGTTTTTGTTATTTTTCTTTTTTCTAATGATTAGGTCTATAATTAGCTTTACAATTAGAAACAAAATATGAAACAAATATTCGTGAAAGAGTTGGAGAAGCTACAGTTGCATATAATATTAGAAAGATATGTTTTAATAGATTTAATGACCTTCGACATACCTACATCAATATGATGTTAAATGATTCGATTTCAATCCAACTGAAGGGCAGTTTGAAAGAAAATCAATCCAAAATTAATTTTTGAGTGATATTCGTTGTTCTAGCTAAAGTCACAGAGCTACCTACACAACACATGTAAAATCTTACTTGTCAGGAAAAGTTGTATTAAAATGTAAAGTTTAAGTGTTAGAAATATAAATATATAGGAATTACACATCTAATCTCTAACAACCCTATGTATGGATATATTTATTACGCATTTTGTCTTTAACAACAACAATAACAACAAAAATAAACCTTTATCCCACTAAGTGGGGTCGCTTACGAGAATCCTTTTTCTCCATTGCTTCTCTTTTAAAGGCCACCATTTTGCGCCACCATTCTGCGCTATAGAACTTTGAGGATCTCACTACAATCTTATAAAATTTTCCTTTAATTCTAAGTGGTATTTTTTATCACACAATAGGCCATTTGCATTCTTCCACTTCAAACAATCAACTTGAAATCTATTGATCACATCGCCATCTATATCACCATCAGTTTGAAGAAGAGACCTGAGATATCTAAACCGTTCACACCTTTTAATGATTTGATCGCCTGTAGTTACAACTCTGCCACTAGATTTAGTACTACTAAAATTACATTTCAAGAAATCAGATCTAGATCTACTCAAACGAAGACCTTTAGAATTCAATATCAACCTCCATAATTCAAAGTTTCCCTAAACTCTTTCTAAGGTTTTATTCACAAGAAGGATATCGTCGGCGAAAAGCAAACATCAAGGTACACTCTTCTGCAAATGTCTAGTAAGAGCATCCATAACTAAAGCAAAAACATATGGGCTTCAGACTGTTCCCTGATCTAATCAAAATATAATAGGGATATTTGGTCAAATCTTTTTCTAGTACCTAAACCCTAAATGCAGTCCTCCAAAGAAATGAAACTTAAAATAAAAATAGGAGGAGAAGTTAACTTGTTGGATCTTTCTTGAGAGGAGAGGAGCAAAAGGAGGAGAAAAATGGGACTTCTCAGTCACCATAAGCTACATTTATGTCGATGTGTTCCCAACTAGCTTCTATCGGTGATGAATGCGATAGTTTTGGATGAAATAGAGATGGGTTGGAGGGAGATGTGAGGGTTTCATAGAGGTGAGGGCTTCAAGAAGAGAGTAAGAGAGGGAGATGATTATGGCAAGATCGGGAGGGCTGCGATTTTGGCGGCATAATGAATTATTTTTGATCGCTTATATTTGGCTTCTAATCCTTCGGTTATTAACATTATTATCGACGACATTCCCATCACTTATTAAAAAACACTTAGGTTAATACCTGATCAAATTTGCAGGTTTAAAGATAACTGACAAAATATGACCATCGGTTAATATTTATTTTGAACTAACAGTTTAATGCATCAATAATAATTAAAAATGTCGAATATATTACGGTTGATAAGCAACAGTTTGTCTTGTAGTTATGTCGTCACAAATAGCCCATATCATAAATCGTTGCTAGATTGTTAGAAAATAGAATATTTTTATCGACACTCGTTGATTTTAACGCTTTTTTCCTATAATGGTTGTTGTTGCACCTCAAAATGGGCACTGGTGTGTCGACTCTCTAGATTCAGGCTGGGGACGCCCAAAATAGGTTCCACCCTCTCTAGATCCAGGTGCCTAGTCATCCAAAATAGGTGCCACCCCTTTGTCATCGGGGTGCCACTTTGGTCCTATCACTTTGGAATTTGCTGGAGCTACCGACTTCCAATCAAACTCTACAATATTTAACAGTCTCTGACTTGAAGATTGATATCTCCAATCCTACACTTCCACATCTGTATCATGCTCGTAGTCTTGCATTGTAGTGTGGCTCACATTCAATCTCAACTTTCTGAATTTCAATTAAAGCCATGTTATATTCTCTGCCATATCCGAGCTTTGTGTATCTTCTATAAGAATAACTACCCATCTTTATCTTCTGCTAGATCAGATTCTATATAACATTGCAGAACAATCCTTACATTTTTCAAAGCAAAATTTCTTATTAATTATTTCCCCTAAAACCTGAAGATTTACTTCATCGCCCCCTAATGATGCTTGCCTGGATCGTTCATGCACCTGCTAACCATTCTCACTATATATACTATATATGGTCTCGTACATATCATAAAATACATCAAATTTCTAACTGCTAAAGCACATAAAGTTCTCGTCATGTGTTTGCTCTCTTCAAACTTAGGTGATTGTTCATTAAATAACATGAAGTGGCTATCTAAGGGGGTGCAAACTTGTTTTGTCTTACCTATATTCAACCTATATAAGATTTTATTACATAGTCCGTCTAAACACAACTTCAGTGTACCCACACTTCTGTCCCCTGTGATTTGCATCCTGAACATCTACTTAATTATACCTAAATCTTACATCTTGAACTCCTTTGATGATTCCTTTTTTTAGTTTTCAATTTTCTCCTTATCTTTCTCTACAATCAACATATCATCCACATTTAAAAATACCAAGATATACAAATTATCATATATATATATATATATACTGTAAAGCAATTGTGGCCTCTTTATCACTTCATATACCCACTGTCTAACATGAATATGTCAAACATTTTGTACTACAATCTTGAGACCCGCTTCCAGCTATAAAGACTCTTCTTCAACCCACAGACTAAAAATTTTTCTTAATACTTTATAACTCTATAATTATATCACAATATCATTGAATTTCAACTTCATATTACTCAAAGCATTACTCACATATGCGATCAATCCTTCCCAACTGTTCAACAATGAAAATAGATTTAGAAGTGCCATAACATCATCACTACTTTGATGCCCATGAAACACAATTGGTTGGTCATAGAGTTAAAATTATTCAAGTGATCTGCCACTTAACTCTCTTATGTTATCTTAATGTTGGAATTTGTTTGATGCTGATGGGTACTCATACGTTATTGTCAATGATGCCATGAGATCCACCACACAACATATATATTTATAAATTTATATGTTACAATTTTTTCCTGCCTTTATAAACCTCATATATATACATAGAAGCAATAGAGGATATCAAATTCATCTCTCCCTCACAAATTTAACTCCATCATTCACTCATTTCAGCAAATGCAGTACTAAATTAACCAAAACCGTGCCGCTACCACTAGCACACAAGTGAAAGCACCCTAAGCAACTTGGTCCATCAAGACGAACAATTTCCTCAACTTCCACATTTTACCTAAACACCAAAAATGTTAATTTCATGCATGCATTCAGGTCACACGATCAGTTCCGTTCTTTCCACATATCTCATCGTTAGCATCTTAAAATCCCATTTCATCTTCATCTTTCTGTGCTTGAACTCCATTTATCCTTTTTCCTTTCTTTCTTTCCTCTTCAATTCGACATTAAAAAACAAAGAAACAAAGAATAATGTCACGCCTTCCCCTGCTTCATCTAATTCTCCTCTCCTCCATCCTTTATAAATCCTCCGCCGCTTCAAATAAAGCTGCTGATACTCTGCTTCGTCTTCTCCCACCGGCGGCAGAGACATTGAACTCCAACGTTCTCGTCAATGTAGCAGGCGACGATCCGAACGAAGCCTACTGTGAAAGCTGGCGCCTTTCAGTGGAGACGAACAATGCCGGAAACTGGAAGAAGATCTCATCTCGCTGCGCGAGCTCAGTGGAGGCATACGTTAGAGGGCCGCAATACGCGCTGGATTCCAAAGTGGTGTCGCGATTGGCGCAGAACTACGCTAAGAACATCAGGCTCGCCGGCGATGGCATGGATTCTTGGATCTTTGATGTCGACGAGACCCTTTTATCTAACATCCACCATTACTTTGCGTATGGCGTCCACATCCGTTGATTTAAAAATCTCTTTTTTAATCGTGTTAGTGGCAATTAGTTTGCTGAACTTTAGTGTTGCTTAAAATTAGATGGGAAGTGATGAATGAAACGGTAGCTGCGGAGCAGTGGGGGGCTTCCACGAAGTCGCCGGCTTTGCCATGGAGTTTATGGCTGTACAAAAAGTTGCAGGGGATGGGGTTTCAGCTGATTCTGTTGACGGGAAGGAAGGAAACTCACCGCAACTCCACCGAGCAAAACCTTCTTGCTGTCGGCTATCACTCATGGGAAAAGCTCATTTTAAGGTACCCTTGTTATTACATATTATTGCCATCCCAAATTTATTACATCCATCCTTCAAATTTTCACTCAAATATCAAAACTCATGGTAGAACAATAACAACTATTTTTTTTTTTTGGGTCAAATTCTCAATAGTTGATCATGACATGCACAAATACATCAGCTTGATAGTTTTCTCAATCTGTAAATATCAATTTTTCAGGTGATCTACATGTAATTATTCCAAATAAAAGGCAATGTTTTTCTCACTCAACAATTTAACACAAAAGAAATAATTAAATAATAAAAATAACATGCTTATTTTAATACAATAAGAACAAAATTGAACAATGATAAACATCCAACTAAAATTGAATAAAATATATTCATTATCAAATTTACATAACCTAAATCTATTAGTAGCTGATTTAATACATTTTTTATTGATATGTAATTACATAAAAATATATTTTTTTTCTTTTATCCAATATTCAAATGATAATCACCATATGACATGAATGGCAATAAGCAGGGGGAACCTGGATGCGGGAAAGAGAGCCATGGCCTACAAATCAGAGAAGAGGGCTGAATTGGTGGCCCAAGGTTATAGAATTCATGGCAGCTCAGGGGACCAGTGGAGTGATCTCATGGGTGAGCCAATGGCGAGGAGGTCATTCAAAGTTCCAAACCCAATGTATCACATCCCATGATGGCATGCAACAATCACATTTCTTAATTAGCTGTATTATGTAATAGTTTGTGTAATGGCATCCATCCATGCGTGTTGAGTGTTTTATGTCATGCCATCATATTGGTCGGATTGCATAGATGCATATATGATCTTAGCAGCCATCAAACGTGTTGAGTGTTTTATGTCATGCCATCATATTGGTCGGATTGCATAGATACATATATGATCTTAGCAGCCATCATAGGGAGTGACGGATGAGATCATTTTAATTTTGATAATGTTATGGGTTAAGCCGGGCTATGATATCTTATGAACTTAAGATTGCTTTGGATGATGTTTGTGTTGTGTATTTTTGGCATCATTGCTTCATAGCATAGCATGAGAGTTCATTTTGCTTAAGGTACTAGTCTAAACACTTGGGTTATTTGTGATAGTGAAAGAATAATAATAATAATAAAATGCAACAAATTATAAATGTAGAAAAGCATAATTTATATGAAAACTATAGATGCAAGAGAAACAACTAAAATGAGAAAATTGCATAGTATTAGAGTAACATATAGGAGTAGAGCTAGGGCTGTCAAAAAAGCTCGTTGTTCGCGAACAGTTCGTGTTCGGTTCGTCAATGAGTTCGTGTTCGATTCGTTCGATAAGTAAACGAGACAAACACGAACAAATTTTTTTCGTTCGGTTAGTTAAACGAACCAAACACGAACAGTAATGCATTCATTCGTGTTCGAATCGTTATTGTTTGAAATATAAAATAATATAAAATAATTATATATAAAAAATTTATTATATTTTAAAACATTAAATTTTATAAATTATAATATATAATAAAATAATAATAATAATATATTAATATACTATAGTAGTAATATACTAATATAGATATTG